CCAGTGATTCTGGTGAGTCACTTAGAATTTTTGTTGTCCTTTTGAACCTAGATCTTGGGATCTCTAGTCAGCTAGGTTGGGTTTCCATTAAGATGACTCGTTAGCTTTTGGCTTTAAATCCCATTCCCCTCGATGATCTGTACAATTGCTCTCTAGTATAACCCTTAATTTTATATGTGGCCACAAAGTTGTGCGTAGAAATATTACACTCTGCAGATATTTCTCCAGGTGAGAGTAATTGTATACTTTGTGCCCTAAAATTATTTTCTTTAGTGGCATAGGTGTAGACTTACTTTGAAATGTCCTCTAGGTGAAGTCTATTGACTTTCCTATTTGATTTATTCAAAGTTTTTAACTTTGAGTTATATTAAGAACTTGCAACTACACCTTTAATATAAAAGACATATCCACTCTAAGATTTGAAGTCTTTAATATCCCATATCCAGATTGCATCACTGTTACACCTCCAATTTAATTAGATACCTCGATCTATGTAATATTGGATTTAGGGTGTATCTCAACTACCCAATATATTGTTTTTCAGTTATCCGATCATGGATTAAAAATGTGTAATTAAACACAGTTATTAAGATGCCTTGCAATCTTAACTAATGATATACTTTGACTAGTATTTATATTTGAGATTTACATCTACAAAAGTTAGTTAGGCTTTTGTCATCATAACTAGTATTATCTCAATCTCACTCTATTGAGAATATACTATGTTATCAGATATTAAATCTTTCATATCAAATATACTAATTAGTATATCATTAATTTTTGTAAGGCATACAATGATTTATACATCACATTTATGTCATTGTCTTGGTACCAGCTTTAATCCACTCAAGGACTTATAAGGGTTTTCCAACTCTTGAAATACCATATATTAAACATTTTACTTCATCTACCTTTCCAAGGTTTTATTTTCGCTTCTCAACAAGCATGCATAACAGTCTCTAGTGCATATGTATTCACTTTATTTCTAGCTTGTTCTTATAATATGTCACAGACATTACTGTGAATTAATACTAGAGATATTAATTACAATGAGCTTTAATTAACATTTGCTTCTACATCTCTTGTATTTATGAATTAAGTAATTCATGTTTAGGTTCATGTTAAGTCAGTCATCTTAACATGTCATAACCTTTCATTTGTTACACATTACATAACTCAACCATTTAAGCAAATAACTCACTTATTGTTTAAGCTTTGGATACATCACCACAAAGTGAGCACTCACTTCTCAACTATTATTACTACTTAAAAGTGAGTTTTTAAGCTCTCATTACTAGCTTAGATTAAGCATATTCTTCTCATTAATTACTACTAGTTTATAATAAGCACCCACTTCTCTACTATTACCACTAGCTTGAAGTTAAGTTTGCTCAGTTATCAATTCTAGTAGCTTTTAACTTTAGTACACACTTAACTAAGTAGTTTACTTTGGTAGTAGAGTAATTTGTTTTGAAAAATATTCTTAAAAAAATTACTACTTTACAAGTAGTATTATTCACTCCTACATAAGCAGATATGATGTATAGCTCAAATAGCTTATGGCTAAAATGGTTATTCATCACCCTCGTATTTTTTACTTCCAAGTAGAGAGTAAGAACCAACTAATAGATTCTCATATTTCTCTTAAGTTCTGTGCACCTCATTAATCATTTTAACTTATGGCTAAGCTAACTAGTTTGCAACTCAATAATATTTTAGCTTTCAGCTAAATTGTACATTATAGCTAACTAGCTTGATTTAGCTTGTCTCAGTGTACTTGTTTACTGTATCCATAACATTTTTCATTAAACATTTTAAAGTTATCGGGAAATCTTATCTTATTCAGCCCATTCACAGCTATACGTATCTTTAAATACTAGTATAGATCTTTTTCCCTTGGCTATTGGAAGAATTGACATAGCTAGACTAGTCAATTTTTGTTTGTTGTATTAAATACATAAACCAGTCATGAACTCATACAAAATTAATAATATCACACATTAAATTAACTATATTGTAAAATTAAATTACTATACACATTAAGTAATATTATAATCTCAATTAAAAGGAAGCACTTATATAAATAATATTAAACTCACATAAATAATATTATACCACATGATTAATTATATCACATAATTAATCAAAGAAATAATAATATTTAGGAGAAGACTTTGTTTTTCTCAAAACTGTATGCCTCATTCTCCAATAAACATGCTAGAAAATCAAGACCAAAAGATGTAGACGTTCTAGCCCATAAGAAAATGATCTGCACTGATGTTATGAGAATAACCTATCAAAGGTTTTATGTAACGATCCACTCCACCACATAGTATGATATTGTCCGCTTTGGGATCGAGCCCGCACGATTTTGTTGTTGGGTTTTATCTCAAAAGGCCTCATACCAATTGAAAATAACACCACTACATAAAATCACTTTACCTTTCCCTTACGTAGGTGGTGTAGGACCGTGCACCTGTAACTTGCTTAGTGTGATAGCATGTCAGTGCCTTTTGCACCCGCCCACGGCACACCCACCGACAAGGTTGCCACATTATAGTTCCCACTTTAACTTTCTTAGGAGTATGAACTGCAAACTTAGTTAGACACCCCCACACTTCTAGAATTTATAAGAAGTTTTTTTTTTTTTTTTTACCTTTTCATAATTCATATGATGTCACATTAGTTTCTTTTGAGGTATTTTATTGATAACATAATTTGTGGAAAACAAAATTTTCCATCATAAATTCTGAGTTAAACCAAAACTTGTCAACATAACATTCATCATTTCTTCGTGAATGATACCATGTTCTGAATAAATATCAGCAAATGATGATTCGTATTCACGAACTTTATCATTTCTTAACACCTTGTCAAGATTCTCAACCTCATTTTTGTAATGTTTAAACATTTCTAAGGCTTTATCTTCGTTTTGTAACAGATATAAATAACATCATCTTGTGCAATTATTGATAAAAAGAATGAAATACATTTTCCTACCTCTAGTTGGCACAAATTTAAGATAATATAATATACTATATAATATTATATTACAAAATTAAAATAATTCAACCAATATTGAATTATATAAATAATTCAATAATTTACTAATATAACAGCTTCAATTTCACATAATATTGAACACATCAATATTTAACATATTATCATATAATAATGTTTATAACATTATTTTATTATATCTCATTTATTAGTATAATCTCTACTTATTTATATCTTAAATAGAAGCATATAATAAAACATACGCAATGAGTGATTCTATCTTAAGATTGTTGGTAAATATATATACTTCATGTGGCATTTAAGATATAACAAACCTTATACTAATATGTCATGTGATAATTAACAATATGCTAAGAAATCATTAATTAAATATGCAACTCTATATTTAATTAAATATGCAAAATAAAGTAATAAAATAATAATAATATACAAGGAATAAACCTGGACCGAGGCTAGTATTGGATACTATGTCCTTAAGACAAATTCGCCCCGCTATGGTTGCTAACGGACTCGGTGGCGTCTATCTCCCAGGATACAACGGTCTACATCCACCAGTAGCAGCACTACAAACTCGTGGATACGGCGAACCTCCTCCGTGTAATACTCTCTCTGACTCAAAAATACATCTATATACTATATAAATGTTGAATTGGGTGCAATCTAAACCAAATGGTTTGGACCAATCTTAATATGGCTCGATGAAATTGAATTAGGGTCTAAGTGGTTCGGACTACTTAACCTATGGTTTGAACCCACTTGGGTTGGGTTTAAGTCTAGAAAGGGAGATAGAAGAAAATGAAAATGAATGATTTGTAAATGATCCAAATGGGGGTATTTATAGGCAACGAGGTGTCTTTTTCGGGTGGGTGCAACCCTTTAGAAAAAACTAAAAAGTAGTTTTTAAGTAAGGTGTCTTTTCGGATTGGGTGTAACCCTTTGGAAAAAAACTAAAAAGTAGTTTTTAAGTAAGGTGCCTTTTGGAATTTGGTGTATCTCTTCATCATTGGACATAACCATTTATATGTGTCTTTTCATCATTGGACACATCCCTCTAATTAGATGCAATGATTCACATAATGTCTGTTCACCAATAGACACATCTACTCCAATAGGTTGCAATGGTTCACATGGTGTCTGTTCACCAATAGACATATCAACTCCAATAGGTTGCAATCCTTTAGAAACAGATGCAACTCTTTGGAAAATAGATGCAACCCTTTGGAAATAGATACAACATTTTGGAAAAAGACTAACTTTTAATTTAAATTCAAAAACTAACCATCCATTTAAATAAGCCCAGCCCAAAAATAAAGGCCCAATCCAAGATTCCCTTTAGTAAAAAGAATAATTGGACTTTACAATTAGGCCCAAGCCCAAGCCCAAGCCCAAGCCCAAATCTGGCTTATTTAAATTTCAATTGATTTCAACATTTTTTCCATGTGGGACAAATACTTCTCACATTTTGCATACCCATTTAGGTTTATCAAAACACCACACTTTGGAGCTAATTTCTCATTCACCCGGAAACGGATTTGAGGAAGTAAATATACCACGTTCATGTCTTTGCGGAGAGAAACACGCTCGTCTAGAGATTCACAAAAAATTATTAGCGAAATCTATTTCAAATCTCATCCAAAATTTATGTTTTTAATGCCCCCATTTCCAGCAGCAACTAATCAATTAGGGTTTCACAACGTTTTTAACATTTGATTTCAGGCAATTGATTTATAAATAAATTCAAAAGCGGATCATCTTTTTAATTGAGCTGCGCTGTGCATTGGGTTTCTGGTTAGTTATTTACTGAGCTACATGCATGCCTGTATTTGATTTTTAGTTAATTGGTTTAAATTTTGCTGCTTTCTCTGCTCATCTATTTTGTACAGATTGTGAAATTGAGAATAGGAACACAACGATCTTTTTATTTTTAATTTTTTTTAGGCACAAAGTTGGAGGCATTGTGGATAGTCTTAAGGTATAGTTTTTAACTAATTTGTTATTTTTAAAATTTAATTTTTTTTTATTTTTTATTTAGGTTTAGTGCAGTTTTGTGATGCAGTCCCCTCTTGAACGCTCTTTCAATGAAAATTTACTTCTAAAAATAAATAAATAAATAAGTAAAGTAGGAACTAGGAAGCATGCTCTGTTTGCGTAATTTCATTAATTTACCTAAAGGACGTGAAGCTTCAAAAGGAAAACGACGGAGATTTAGAGAAGTAGTGCATGGGGAAACAACAATTTTGGGTCTAATTTTGGATAAATTGCTGTTTTAAAATTTTTCCGTAACGATCAAACTGAAAAACATGTATCTCTCTTTGAAATTGTTTCTCCACCATAGCTTGAAACATGAAAAATACCCTGTAAAATTTTGATTTTTTTTTAGAGGATAAATCTGTGAAAATCCAAAAAATCATCAACAACATTTAGCTTAGTAACGAAAGCCTTGATCAGATAAAATTGGTGCAGGACCCATATGTCACAATGTAACTTGACATTTAGTGCACATGCCTTGTTATTAGAAGGGAAAAGAGGAAGTCTAGGATTTTACTTAAAGCATTACTCTTACGTAAATTAGAAGTCCTTTTATTGACATAGATAAATTTATTGTGCTGCAAATAAGTTAAAACTCTAGTTTGAGAATGTCCAAGCCGTCCATGCCAAGTGTCTACATCTACTACATGAAACCTATTTGAGAAGAAAGCTTTGGCCGTGACATTCTCTAGGACATATAATGCAGCTTTCTTACTCCTCGATACCATCTCTTGATGTGTTTTTTGATCCTTAATAAGAAAACCATGATCATTAAATATAACATAACATGGGTAGTCGCATGTAAGCTGAGAGACAGATCAAATTATTTTTTATATTGGGAACAACATGCACATTATGTAGAGAAAACTGTGAATCCGTAGGAAAGACTTGTGCTTGTCCAATATGTGTGAGGAGTAATTTTTCACCATTACCCACCATAACATAGTTAGATACGATATAAAGCCTTAAATCAGAAAGTGTACCTAGATCATCGGTAATGTGGGCTATAACACGGTTAACACCACTTTTGGGGAGCCATTCACTTTCATTGGGTGTATTGAGATGAAGTGCGGCTAGGGCTTGTGGAACTTGGTCATCCTAATAGCTATTACTGAAGTGGTGCCAGCATTTAATGACATTGTGACTTTATTTTTGTAAATCTAGCACCGGAGAGAAGGGGAGGTATTTTCCCCCGAATTTAATTGAAAAGTGTTTCGTGCTTTATTGTAGGGCTGCAATTTGGACGGACTAACCCAGCCCAATCCAAGCCCAACCCATAAATTTTGAAATTGGGCTTATATTCACAAATTGGGTTTATATTCGGATTAGGTTTTGTCAAAACCCAGACATATTCGGGTTAGACCCGAACCCAACCCGAAACTTGAAAAAAAAATAAAATTTACTCTTTCTTCTTTCTCTCTCCTCTCTCATCTTTCTCACTTTCTTTCTCTTTCTCTTTGTGCCCATACATACAATTTAGCAGTTGCACAGAGAGAGAGATCTGGGTTTTGATTTTTTGAACAATCTTGGAGAGCTTGGGATGGAAAGAGAGAGAGATCTGAAGCTTGCGATGGAAAGAGAGAGCGATAGCGGCTGAAGCTTGCGATGGAAAAAGAGAGAGAGAGACAACGGCTGAAGCTTGCGAACCCGAACTAGAACAGCGGGCGATGGAAATTGAAGGATTTGGGTTTTGATTTTTTGAACAATCTGAAATGATATGCCAATATGGGTTTTGAACTTTTGATTCTTGCAGACAGAATAGATAAAATTAAAATATATGGGTTTTGAACTTCTGATTCTTCTAGATTTTGTAGTTTGCAATTGGAGAGAGAGAGAGAGAGAGACAGGGAGAGGGAGGGGGGTAGTTCAAAGAGAAGAAAGATGGAGGCGATAGGGAAGGCTGAAATGATTTGCCCTAAAAATATTTTGTTTTTTTATAATAATATAATCAAATATTATATATATAATATAATATTACAATATTATATTATATATATATAAATTTTTAAAAATAAAAAATAAAAAACTCAACCCGTCAAACCGTCCGAAAATATTCGGTCCGAGTTATGACCATAGCCCATGTTAAGTACAATTCGGGTTGGCCTAACCCAACTCGATTCGAGTTGGGATTGGGTTGGGTTGGGACTGGGTTGGGTTGGGCCAGCCCAAGTTGCAGAGCTACTTTATTGAGAGTTGCTTTGGGTACAGGGAGGCTGAGAACTAGCATGAGTGAAACCCCCATCCTTTTGAGGTAAAAGAGGGATTATATTCATGCTTCTGTTGAAAGGGCAATGTGGAAACGAATGCAAGTGTGGGATTTGCATGGTTAGATAAATGGAGCTTGTTGCGTTATTCATGACCGTGCAGTAATAAAATTAAATCATTTTAAGAAGGAACATGAGTCTTAAGTATAGATATGAAGAAAGACTCACTGCGGTCCTAGACCGTTTAAAAGCCAAAATACCTTTTTCTAATCAGGTACTTGTTTGCTAACGGTGTTGAGTTGATCACAAGTTGATTTAAAATCTCTAATGTAGTCATTTAGTGAAGTAGACTACTTTTTCTTCTCTTAAAGCTTGAGAATTAATTCAAATTCACGGGCCTGAGAATTTTGCGAATAAGCACTGGATAAAGCCTTCCAAATATCGAACGAAGTGGTAAGGCTGACAATATGGCCGAGAGCTTCTTCTGAAATAGTAACTATGAGCCAGCCTTTAACCTGTCTGTCTGTGCGTGTCCATGCCACCAGATCTATGCATGTGAGGAACTTTGCCTTCATTATTAACGCCATTGATCTCACCTTCGGGTGGTGGACTGTCTAATGTGATAAAACCAAGAAGATGCTGACTTTTAATTAAGGATAGAACTGTGTTTCCCACAAGAGATAGTTGGAAAATATGAGTTTCACAGATAACGAAATTTGCTACAATGAGGTTAGCAGGATATGAGTATTTTGAAAAACTGTAGCCATTTGATTAAGAAGACAGAACTAAGAACTGCAAAGAGAAGTGGAAGAGAGAGCTAGATGGATCGTGCTATTTAGAGCTTTGGTGGCTCTAATACCATAAAGATTATTTAAAAGAGGCTTGTAATTGTGAAGTCATACCATTTTTTTATTGCCAAGTTTACATTTAAATATGGGAAGTTGTTTACAACACAATATCCAGATAGTTGATACAACAAAATATTAATAAATCTTTTGAAATCAAGGTGGATAAATAAATTCAAAACACTTTGAATTTGCATTTATTGAATTTGAACTTCCTCCAGGTATGCCGCCTAACTCCTTTTCACTGTTCTGTTAGAGTACCTACAAGTTTTTAATAGTTGAGAGGCTTTTTCCGCAATTTTCCTAACCATTAATTACTATGTCCACTAGGTTGATGCCACCAAGAATGAGAATAATGACTTAATATCTGAGTGTAATGCAATGCAGTCACTTGATGCAAATTATGACTAAAATTATTTCAGAAACTCTATCCCATTCAGTCCCATAATTCTGCCGTTAATTGGCGGGGTAAGTTGCATAATACTTGGGCCAATATATATATACTTTTGTCTGTTAGTTTCCATGCATTGTGCTTGTAAATTAAAATCCCCTGTCAATATGAAAAATTTCAAAGATGTGGAATGGCCTGTGATTTATGTGGGTAAACATGTGGTAGATGATGTCTGCAGGGTTCAAAAATAATTTTTAATTTGACATTCTTGCTGAGACAATTCAATTGCTGTTTTTTCTAATGTATAACAATGCGCCCTTTTCTGAAAAGGCTAATGTTAAGAGTTCTTAAAGCAATAGGTACGCAGAGTCCTACTATTCACAAGGTTACTGCATGCTTTCCCAGTACTTTTCTATTTAAACTTTTTTTTAATACTTCTACTTGGATAAGAATTGTTGCAGGTATTGAAAAGATATTGGATATGAGGTCAAAAAACAATCAAGCCCATGAACTACTCAGTAAGATGTGTTCTCCAATCTGGACTTTTGATTCGAAACATGTGGGAGTATACTTGAAGCGATAAAAAGAGCCATCAAATGTGGGAATGTTGAATTTGTTGAGGAAGTCCTGAAGTCAAATCCTGCTTTGTTATGGGGGAATAGGGAAAACGGAACCATATTTCACATTGCAGTTGCTTTCCGTCAGGAGAAAATATGGAACCTCATATATGGTTTAAGTACCGAACATAGAAATAAAATCACTGGAATTCTAGTAGAATCAAACAGCTTGCTACATGTAGCTGCATGTCCAATGGTAATGCTTGAAACCATAAGAATTCAACATGAAGCTCCAAAAGAAGTGAAGGGAGAACAACAGTTCCAGAAGGTATTTAATAAAGCTCGTGATGCAGCTATGAAAATGCAAAGAGAACTACAATGGTACAAGGTGGTAATCTATTAATCTTAGCTAGATAGCTTTCTATTTATACCATCGATTTATCAAACTTTTGGTGTGATTTTTTGAAAATGGTATAGTTTAATTAATATATAGCAAACATAGAAGTAACTGGTATATAGTTTAATTATATTGCAATAATTATATAATTAAATCCCTGAAATCAATGTTAGCTAGCCAGCTAGTAATGTCTTTGAGCCCTTCCACTGACTCATATAATTAAATTGTGGAAATTAATATATAAGCTTCTAGCTAGCTAGATTGAAACTTGAAAGTAGTACTTATCAGAACTTTTATTTCATTGTTAATTTAATTTGTTCTTTCTCATCAACATGCATGCATAATAGGAGGTCGAGAGGATGGTACCATCTTCATATATACTTCTTCCTAACAAGTATGGAGAAACTCCTTCAGATTTGTTCTCAAACTATCACTATAACTTAGTCAAAGAAGGAGAACAATGGATGGGAGATACAGCAGGATCATTCACAATCGTTGCCGCTCTCATTGTCACTGTTATGTTTGCGGCAGCCTTCGCATTACCAGGTGGCACTGATGAAAATTCGGGAAACCCCAAGTTCCTACAGCGCAACTCTTTTATGGTTTTCATTCTATCAGATGCAATCTCTCTATTCTCTTCAGTTACTGCAGTGTTAATGTTCCTGAGCATTCTCACTTCACGTTGTACTAAAGATGATTTCCTCAACTCATTACCCAAGAGGCTAATAATTGGTCTCGCCTCCCTTTTCTTATCTATTGCCACCATGATGGTCACTTTTGTTGCCACTTTTGGTATCGTGCTTGGTGAACGGAGAAGAATGGTGGTTGTTCCAATCGCTTTGCTTGCTAGTGTCCCAGTAGCCTCATTTGTTCTATTGCAATTTTCCCTATTTGTTGACATTTTCTCATCAACCTATGGACGCGGTATCTTCAACCAGAAAACAAAATGTTCTTTCTTCAACAACCCAAATAAGTATGTTCCTTCAAATCACAGATATTTCTCTCTTGTGTAATTAATATGCAATGATTGTGGTATTACTATGTCATTGGCATATATAATTCTTATCATGGTTCACTATAATCGCTATTTGTACTAGTAATTATGTATCTTAAGCAGAATAAGAGAGTGCTTATATTTATGAAACATGAAATGAGTGTTCTTTTTATTTTTCTTTGTTTTTCTATCTAGATGAATGTATCTCTTATATTTAAAGCAGAATTAGTGTTCTTAAAGCAATAGGTATGGAGAGAACTACTATTCATAATGTTACTGCATGCTTTCCAATGCTTTTCTATTTTTGGGAGCTCTGACGCAAAAATTCAAATCTGGTTTTGATCCCCAGTCTCGATCTTGGTTTTTGGATGAATGAAATCGGTAAACATTTCAAAGACGAATTGGCATGGTGAAATTAGCTGAAATTTTTTGTTTGATGTTAATTGTTTACAACAAAATAGAAGAAAAGAAGAAGAAAAATCTTTTGTGCCAAAACAGTTACTTATATTGAGACGATAGCTTCGATTATATATTTTGATGCCGTGAATATGAAGTATATATATTACCACAATAGAGAACAGAGTTCCAAACAAACAAATATTGAGACCATACATGAGCGTCAAGCATACGAAAATATATATTTATTTTATATACCATACCACTTAATTACCGAAGAAAAGTTAAAAAAGCATACAATAATAAATAACAATGATCATCCACAATGTACGTAATAAACAAAGTGCATTACAATTTATGTGGTATGATTTCAAGTTTACGATCACAATCAACAGAATAATTATTAACTAGTATGAGATGGTTGTAAAATGGTTGCCTATGGTTCTAACATTCCCCATAGTTGATAACTCCAACTAACATTTAAGTTGAATTTCATAATATTCTTTTTAAACGAAAAAAAAAAAAAAAAACAAAAAAGGTAATTACAAAAGTAAGGCCTAAAGGGAAGCCCACCCAAGAGCCCAAACCCATGACGAAATAATCTATTCCCTTTATACGAGGAATAATCCCAACCCAAAATTAAGTGTGTGTCATGGCCAAGCCCAGCAAAATTAATGTTAACTAACGGATCTTGTCATCTGAGACTCATTGTTAGGAAACAAATATGTTTTCTTTCTTTTTCTTTTTCTTTTTTTTTTATTATTATTATTAATTTTTATTATTATATGCTAGGAATCTATATAAGGTATCTCATATAAGTGTATATTAACATTTAGGGAAAATTACATATAAATGGAGTCAAAGTTCCATATTTACTTAGAGGCTGAGTCAAAGTTTCATATTTCTCTAAAATGGATTGTTGAGGTGGCACATGGTTTTTTACTGTTTAGAAATTGTGATGTCTAAAATACCCTTCCGCGAAGGTACTACTTTTTCTTCGAAGGTACTACTTTTTTGAACTGAAGGTACTACTTTTTGACGTCCAGGTACCATATTTTTTAAACACCCGCGAAGGTACTACTTTTTCTCCAAAGGTACTACTTTTTTGAACTGAAGGTACTACTTTTTTGCACTGAATGTACTACTTTTTTGTTAGGGAAGGGCATTTTAGGCACCACAATTTTCTAAACAGTAAAAAACCATGTGCCACCTCAGCAATCCATTTTAGAGAAATATGGAACTTTGACTCAGTCTTTAAGTAAATATGGAACTTTGACTCCATTTATATGTAATTTTCCCTAACATTTATTCAAAAGATATATGTATATACACGAGCATGTGACTCCAACTCCCCAAGTAGTATCTTGTCTTTTCTTAATACTAAATTATTGTTATTAATATTATATTTTGATCTGAAATGTTTATGTTCAAGTGCTCCATTGCTTAAAGTGACTGACTTTAAATTCTGAAGTGGTAGAATGAAGAAAAACAAAGAAAGAAACAGGGATAATAAAATAATTGGACTCCACAAGACAAATATATATATATATATATATATATATATAGAGAGAGAGAGAGAGATGAATTAAAAAAGAACAAAGACTTTGTGATAACCATCCATTGTTGAAAGAGACAGTGAAGACTTGGGAACGACTTGTATAGTTCTATTTGTACACACAAATTTTGTAAGTCAGTAATAAAAACAAAATATGGAACAAATGATATAATTTTATTAATTTGAGAAATTGAGGTACAATCTTTTGTAATATTCTTTACAAAAGAAAGAACTGATCCTATGATTAAATCTCTTTTTTTTATTGGTTGGTTGAATCCAAGAGTTGTACGAGTTTGATCTTGAATCACCGTAGAATTTGGATGACGAACTGCACGACTTTGGATGTTCTTATTATTGATCACCGTGGAATTTGATGAAGACCAGCACGATTTGATGTGCTTGGTGTTTTTCGCCTTTGGGTTTGGTTGTTGGGGATGAGAGTTTTTGTATCTCTCTCTGAAATTCTGAATTATGAATTTATGTACCCCTTTCTTCTTCCTCCAGGCCTCTATTTATAGGCTTCTTGGATTAATAGAATGATGACACGTGTCATCTCCTAATAAGTATAAAATCATAACTGGGCCGAGCTAGTTATATTGTGATAATTATTCTTTAAAATAATTATTCTAAATATATTTTATTAGGAATAATTATCTTTCCATTTAATTATTTGAGCTGGGCTAATTAAATAATTTAAGTGAATCAAGGTTGGGCCAATTAAATAATTTAATTAAACATTAAACTCATATTTAATGGGTCAATTTGTCAAAACCAAAACTCACTAAAATTTTAGTGTTTACAAATTACCCCCACTTCGAGTCCCAAATTTGACAGGACTTATTTCATTTTTCAAGTGAGACTTGAAGTATCCAACTTTCCTCTTTTTTTTTTTACTCTCCAACTTTTAATTAGAATTTTACTTTTCCATTTGAATTGAACTATATAAATCTTAATACAAATAGGAAGTATTTTATTATCTATATATACTACCCATATCATAGGGTTTGTCATCAATTTCAATAGCCAAGAATTGAAAGCTGGATGGAGTCTTCTATTGCTACAAACCAATGTTGATTGCAAATTACCACGAGTATGATTTCTTCTTTTCAAAAGAACTTCAATATTATTATTATTATTATTTTTTTTTTCGCATGAATGTATTGTGCCTCACCAAGCTACTGCCAGGCTTTAAGAAGCATATGTACCTAAACCATGTTGACCTTTCTTTCCTTCCAATCCGTCTTCCTTGTGATCATTGTGCACTCACCCCCTTTGTCTTGTGTGGGCTTGAGATATACCATCATAGATCAGTACTATATATATATATATATATATATATATATATATAGTAACTGTCACTTAATCCGAGTACAAGAAGGAAACCTCTATGCACTTGTGTATTGCTTTCACTGCAAAGTTTCTCTTTCACAAATTGTTTTTTTTTTCGCATGAATGTGCATTCCTGTTTCTTCCATCATCCTGTGTCGTCCTTTTCTTGTTCCACTTTATCATTACCATCACCACTTAGACTAATCTGCATAGAACCATTACAGGTGCTTGATATATATATATATATATATTTGCATTGCATGTATTGCTGATGTCATGTGCCTTGTACAATTGATTATCTAGCACCAAAACTTGCACTGCTTTTATATATCACTGTAAAACAAATCCAAATCCACGGAATTAATTGCGCAGATACAGTAAATTTTTTTTTCCTCTTCTTTTTTGCCCCTTTTTTTTTTCTTTTTTTTTTTTCACACTATTTTTTTCACTATTTTTTTTCTTTCCTTTTTTTCTCTCTCTCCCCCTCTCTCTCTCTTTTTCACGCTTTTTTCTCTCTTTTTTTCTTTTTTTTTTTTCCTTCCTTTTTTTTTTTGCCCTTTTGTTTCAAATTTTTTTTTTTTTTTTTGCCCTTTTGTTTTCCTTTTTCTTCTTCTTTTTTTCTTTTCTCTCTTTTTTATTTTATTTTTCTCCTTTTTTTTGCGCTTTTTTTTTTTTTTCCACTGTTTTTTTTCCAACCGTCCCTTTTTATTTTTTATTTTTAAAAGGGCTTGATTGGGTATAGTAACTTGATTTGTGTCAGCCGCATTCAAATGCTTGATCCTGACAATGAACATTGTTCTTCTCGTTGGACATACAAGGCTACAGGCGACCTCACCAACTTTGGTCTTGATCAGATTAATGAAGAATCTATTGAACTTGATATTAAATTATCAACTTCATTGGACATGCAAAGCCACTTGCAACTTCACCAACTTCGGTCTTGATCAGATTAATGAAGAATCTATTGTCTCGGAAGCTTTGATACTAAATTCTTCACTTTATGAGAGAATTGTTGAGAAAAACCAGTTTTCACTCTTGGATCTCAATGTTCAGGCAAAAAAAGTATCATGGAGTATTCCTTGTATACTTTTTGCTGAATTGTCATACACCGAACTATATTAGGAGTGATTAGAAGATGTCTTGGCACGTTACCATGACTTTCTATCAAAACAACAACTATATGGTGTTATATTCGCCCCCTATTTTCATATGATCGCCATGAAGATTTATTCAAAGCATTCCTCGAATGTTGATGCCCAGCCACTAATATTCTTCCTGATTTTATTGTTTGCAGCTACACTTAGGCGGTGGCCCTAATTCTTTTCTTCAACAACATCTCAGCGGAAAGCCAAATTTCTCTTTCAGCAATACCTCGGTGGCGAGCAGAATTATTATTATTTTTTTCTTCAACGACACCTTAACAGTGAGTCAAAATTTTGTTGCAACAACACCATGGTGATGAACCGGATTCTTCAGCGACACCTTGGTAGAAAGTCAATTTTATTTATCTCTTCCAGTGACACCTTGATGACGAACCGGATTCTTTGGTGACACCTTGGCAGCAAATCGAATTTATTTATTTCTTCTAGCCACACCTCGATGACGAACTGGCCGGATTCTTCAGCGACACCTTGGCAGCAAGTCATTTTTTATAGTAACACCTTGACGTTGAACCGAAAATCTTTGAATTTATTCTTTGAAACTACATTTTGCCGACGGATCAAATTTCCTTTGTAGCTACAATTTTGGCGACAAACCAAAATTATTGTTTGCAGCTACACCTTGGCGATGGATCAAATTTTCCTTTGCAGCTACACTTTGGTGGCGTGCCAAGTTGATAGGTACGACGAGCACTTTTTGATATTGCATGATGAATGACTTTGCCATTTTGCAA